TTTTCCAAAACAGTTCGTACCAGACATAGCATAATTATTTGATTCCAAATCTTCAATTATAGAGATAGACCGGATTCTTTTGTAACTGGCTTTCTAGTTGATTCCCTCCTACCCAAGAAACCAGACTAGTATTTCATCCTATTTTAGTCATCCATGGTCATGAAAAGGCCACTGAACATCTTCATAACATGAGAACTACAGGTGATCCAGATGTGATGTTGGATCATCTTCACTCCTTCCTTTCACTCTCTAAGTCATTTGCTCATGAGTATCAATGAAGAGGAGAATACGACTGTGTTGGCTATTCTTGGTTGTCAATGTGCCTACATCTAAGGTCAACTGACACCCAGAAAATAGAGGGCACAGATGTGGGCCATTTTTGCTTCATTTGAAGTAGGACGATCTATTTCTAGTCTAGATCTTAGAGGTAGGAAGTCACAACTTTAATTCAGATCTTTAATCAATATGTAATCTGGACTATGCTTTCTGTTCGAAGCATATGGAAGGACCCAGAAGAAGGAAGCTTTTCCTCCTCTGCTTCCTCCACCTTGTTAGCACATCCATTCCTTCACAGGCATAAGAGCATCCATTTTGAGATTACAGCATAGACTGCAGACAGCTGAGACATCCAGACTTGTAGACTGAGCAACTACTGGATTCTTGGACTTTCCATTCATAGCCAACCATTGTTGTATTAGCCAGGGTACAGCTTGTAAGTCATTATAACAAATCCCTTTTCAATACATAGAAAGATTCATTTTATAATTCTGTTGTGCTACAGAGCCCTGACTAATTACCAGGCATATAGAGAGGACATTCTAGAACAGTTTGTGTGTCATAGGAGTCTCAGGTCACTTACAAATTTCCAATGGCCACCTTCCCTTAACCTTACCCTTCTCTAGGTGCTTTTTTACTTCAGGGGACTCAATTCTCCTCCTCTACATCATCCTGACCAATTCTTGGCATGCTTTATTTCTCATATTATTGAGTATGGATATTAGAATGGTATTGGAGCCTATTTCCAGGTTTCTTAGTGGCTTTACCCAGCAGGTCTGCATAGAGAGGATGATTGGACCACAGGCCTGAGTGTAGGTGCCTGAGATGGTCTGCACTTGGCTGTGCTGGGGGGAGATCTTTTGCTTCACCCCTTGGTGTTCCTTTAAATACCCTAGGGCAGAGACAGCCAGGCCCTCTGGAGGTTATCCTGTATTTTCTTTCTGTTTCTCCGTCGTCTATACTTCTAAGTAATATTTCCTACTTCTCCTACTCAAGAGTATTCTGGGGAAATGTGGGGGTAGTATGTAGCCTCCCCATAAGATGGGAAGGGCCAACTATTGTCAGTGTTTATAAATGAGCTTTCAACTCCTTATGGGTGAAGTAGTGAAAAGATTCTAATGAAGCAGAGAGATATTTCTAGCTTTGAAAGGAGGAGGAGCTAAATAGCTTTCCCTGTGTCACAGAAGAGATTCCTGGAAAGGAAACCTCAG